TATATTAAAAACACTAATTTGTTCAATTTAATTCGGTTCAACATGCTGCGACGATAAAATATTTAAGTAGTAGGTGTAATATTATAATAATTGTCAAAAAGTTGTTAAAAAAACCTAACCGTGATCTAGCTTTTGAAGTTGGCATTAATATAATATATTTTCTGTGTTTTTATCCTTAAAAAGCTTCGACAGTCTGTTACATATCTCTTTTGGTTTAAAAACAATCGTACCTACCAGGTAATGTAATAAGTTACTATTATTTTTTTAACATAAAATAAATCGCTATTATACTTTGCTCTTGTAATATTTTAATTTATTAATGACAGTTCAAATACTTTTAAGCATAAGTAGGAATTAAAAGATAAGAAATATTTGTAACAATAAATGTATATTTTATCATAATAATTTTGAATTATTTGTAAATAATAAAATGTCAAAAACAGGTATCATGTTATGACTTAATACGTATAATAAATAATATTTGATATAGACGTCAACATCCACAATAAATAATTTGTATAGTAAGTAAAATATACGCGAGATGAAGTATATATTTTTATCTTAAGTGTCTTTCAAAATTGCATTTGAACTGTAGTTGCGAAAAAAATACAATGCGCATAATAATCTTTATCGTAATATGAGTTTATAACACATAGCAACCATTATATATTCACTGTTTTTGTTGTCTTGAGATTTATAACTACAAGACAATTATAAAAACTATAAAATAATTTTAAAAAAATATCTATTACAGCTCTTATATTATCTAATTAAAATATTATATATTCTATACAAGCTTAGGTATTTAGATATTATGTAAAAGGCTTAATTTTTAAGTGTAGACTGCAGTTACTAGGATAGGTTTAAGGAAATTTTATTAGTATTCTTAAAATTAAAAAAAAAATTAATTATTTAAACATTAGAATACAAGATAAATAATTATTTCACCAGAAACAAAAATCCGACACCCGTTGACCGCATTATCGGAATCCGCAGTGTGCCTAGCTTTAGGTGGTGCCACGTATATAATATTAATTAATGCAACTGGTAACGCCGAAGGAGATGATGTGTGAGAAATGGAACCGAGTGTGATAGACTATGGTAAGGATTGTTTAGGGGGGGGGGGCGCACAGGGTCGTTTGTGTAGTGTTGCGGCAGCGGCGGCGGGATCGTTTCACCCCTATGGTGGAGTTGGGGGGAAAAGGGGGAGGAGTTGGACTGTCGCGGTCCGCCGACGGTGGCGGCACAGGAAGGAAGGGATGAGGATTCTGAGAGTGTAGCCCTCAGTGCGCCGCCGGATAGCCCAGGCTTAGCATGTTGATCCCGTTGGATTAGTGAAACGGCTACCCAGTACCAGGTTAGTGTTTTGTCCATTTCCACTAGACCACCCCTCCGCGTCTTCTCCACCATTCGTATACTTACGTCGCTACGGCCGTTCGCATATTTACTCGAACGTAGAAATAAAATATAAATATATAGATATATACTTAAGTATAATTGTGAGTGTAATTCTCGTGTGTTGCGTGACGAAATCCCATTAAGTACTGTAAATCATACGTGTACTGCTTCTTCAAAAGAAAATATCATTCGTCAAACAGATCAATAGGTATGTATAAAAAAAAAAAATTTAACAATAGGCATTATTTAAATGAAAAATGTATAAGAGTTGTTAAATTTAGATTGTTGAAAAATATCTACATTTTTAAATCGAGGTAGTAATGCTTTCCGTGTGAGCAAATTCTTAATAATTTACAAGTGTGTGCTTTGCATAGAATTTGAGAAAAAAAATTGTTTTATAGCAATAAATTACGTATTATAATTACAATAATGTTTAGTAAAAAACAACTTAAAAATAAAATTAGCCAATAAACCTTAATTAGTAATAAGAAAACCATATTATTTTATACTAAATTAAAATTACAATTATTTCTTAAATATATAAAATTCAACTTCAATAATATAAGTTTTAAAACATTTTGTTATAGAACTGTTCATAAAAAACTAATAACCATGTTATCAAATAATATTTTTTAAAAATGTTATCGTGACTTCGGTCGCAAAAAAACGTATCTATGTAAAAGTTATACTTTCTCAGCTATCGCATTGAAGCTAAAACTAAAAACCAATTACAATTATTGTGATCATTATAAAAATTACTTTTTATAATTTTTTTAATATATATTCAAGAGTATTAGTTGACTTCATATAATATCTTACAATTATTTAAATAATGATTTTATTTTGTTATAGTATTTATTACACATTATTTTTCATTTTTCCTTTCTTTGACTTTTACCTGTTAAATTTAAACAAGAATTAAAATATCTATTATACCTATTTTTAAGGACAATACAGAGCAAATAGAATATCTAAAAAAATCGAATACATGCTATGTTGACATATTATTTTAAGATCTCTGTATGATGTCTACTGCAGGTAAAAGGTAATACCTGCCCAATAGCTGTTATGTCCTTTTTTTTAGTGCATACTCTTTTTTAAAAATAAATATTAAATATTGTTTCCTAATATTTTCTTCTGACAATTTCTAATTTTATGTTGATTATTATTTTTAGTAGTTGTATGTTTTTAATTATTATTGTAAAAAGCACATTCACAAAATGTACCGTATTTGGGTTAGAGTATAATATTATGTAGTACATAAACTAGTGAATATAACGCAAAAGTAAGTGGGATTTATTATTGTTTTTCTTTCGAGTTACAAAGCCGACTTAATACCAGCGGATCACAGTTGATCTCAAACGATTTTTCGTTTGGTCTACTGTTTTTAGTATTTTCAATAGATTTACTTATTTATTTTCTACTAGAAAGTATACATTTTTCAATGCTTTATTTTATTTATTTATTAAAATTCCATATCTATATAATATTATAATTACAATTTAAAAATAGTCAACACCACCGACCCCGCTTAGAGTCGCATAGAGTCTGTTAATTTAAGCTTTTATACAAATAAATTATAATAACCATAAATTCTATTACAGAAATAAAAAATAAAAGTTTTGTAATGCATATATCGACGCCCCGTTCGTGCTATTGGTGCCAACGGTGCTAGTTTTCGTAAGAAGCCTCGAACGGTGTTAGTTTTCGCTAGAACTTGAACGGTGCTACTTATCGTACGACGCGTCGATATTAATTGTGTGGTTTTTATGAAGAAAATAACTTTTTAACTTATTTCGTCGGTTTTTTTGTTATCATAATGTACATCGATTAAAAATGTTTTACGATTATGTCTTTGGTAGGTTAAAAAAAGATTTTTCTAATTTCTACCTCAAAATCAAGACAAACCTACTATATTGTACTTGCAACTCATTTTCTAAAAACGAGGAATAGAACTAAAACTCATATACTTCCCTAAAGGGAGGAAATATTTCCACGCTTTATTTGGCCAAATTCTAATACTTAAGATTTACGACTAAAATGTAGACCTAAGATAAATTTATTACATTTTTAAAATATTTTATATTATCTTAATCAAATTATCATTAAAAAAAATAATTTAGAAAAATCCTAAAATGTTGTTATAAAATCACTGATACACGAGTTCGGGTTAGGAGAGCAAATTTGTACTAAATGATTCTGCTAATTAAAAATGTTGCCAATATTGCACCTAATAACTTCTTTTGCTCCATAATTTTAGTGTTTTGGAATGTGCAGCATTATAGGTACAAGTTACAACATACATATAATAGCGGATTTCAAGATTTCTCAAGGTAGACAAATAATGTTTGCACCACAATAAACAACTTTTCACTTATACTATGTAGATATTTGTATAAAAGAACGCTATTTACAATTTTGCCATCTGCTAGGCAAACTACAATGTTGCCTACCGCCTACATTATTATTCCAGTTATTACTGGAATATTGGATATTGTACATTATTTTATAAACTAGGTACTCGATATTATTCAGTAGGCGTATAATATGCATAAACATATTAAGTTGTCTTTACCCTTGGTATTTTTGAAATTGCTAGGCCGATTGGAACAATATCTTATCGGTGTAAGGGGGTGTTAAAAGTCCAAAACACCACTTTGTCTTGTTTGAGTTGAGAAAACTGTCAACATAATATAATAATATCAACTATCAAATAATTGTCAACTTACACACGTTTTAAGTTTGTGGAAAACTGTTGGACCAAAAGAATCACGCGATTGATATATCATTATCAATTTGCCCCACGGAGGGGGGGGAGGCGATGTGAACTTTTTTGGTAATTAGTTGTAAAAGTTTTAATTAAACTGTAGAGTGAAGGTTATTTTAATAATTAGATATTAAATACGTTAATTTCATCTAATTTAATCATAAAATTAGGATGAGGCGTATGGAACACATACACTGTGTTTAATTGGATCATTAGACTGGGAGGAGGGATGCCTCTAAGACACAAACTCAGACCTGTGTCCGTTTGACGAGGGTGCGCCGCGTTGACGTGTAGGTCTGAGGTGTGGCCAGTGGTTATTGGATGGCGCAACGCGGCGTTGGCGGCGGTCAAAAAAAAAAAAAACACTGGAGCCAGTGCGTCAAGACGGCGGCGTGCGGCGCATAAAAATAATAACGACGCAATATTATTATGATTATATGTTGTATGAAAAATCGCTTTCAGACAAGGCGTATACGAGTAGGGAAACCGTTAAACAAATGAACTTGTTTCGGCAAGTGCGGGGAACACGCGTGGAAAACGGTAATGGGGAAGCGGCGGCGGCCAAAGACTCGGCGGCATACACCGACTCCTGTGCGCTTGTACTTATGGAAGTGTGTGGAAGGAAGGAAGAAAAAGGAACAACGAAAAATAAGAGAGTTTTTACGTCGTCCGATAGGAGGCGGCCGCGCGCGCGAGATGGAGCGCAAGCGCCGCCCGCGACGGGCCGAACGCGTAGGGCAGAGTCCGCCCATAACGGGACATGGTGGACGACGGTGCCACCGCCGCGCGATCGGTTCTCGTATATATCTCATAGCCGGGGGGCTCAAACCGCGGATAGTCGACCTAATCTGAGGTCAATTTGTTAGCTTAACTTTAAAACTCCACGACCATCTTCTTGGTAGTCTGCCGTGCGTGCGTGCGTACAATAATAACAAAATAAATAAAATACCGAACGAAAATCACGACGGTTATAATAAAATAGAAGACGAATAATAATAATTATTATACTATGTACTCGTGTAAGTATATTATGTTATTATACAAACCGCTGTTGTCTTGTCGTTAACAATATCTATCACAGTGTCAGTTGCGATCCGTGTCCGCCGGCAGTACATGTTGGGCTCGAGTGCGACCGGGACGGGACGAACGCGCAGTGCCGTTTTATGTGATCCCATCGTTTAATGATCCACCGAAATCCCACATAAATCCGCGGCACAGTTTCGGGGATTTCTTTCTCTGTACATTATTATATACACTTAATAACGATATTGTTATATATTTATCGCCGCCCTTACGTTAGCTATTTCGACCCGTGTCCGCCTTCGACGATTGTTATATAGACAATATTTTTGTTTTCTTTCAAAAATCGTTTATTTAGTTAGGTTTTTTTTTGGTAACTATTGCAATCGTCTACAACAACGATCGTTCCGATCAAGATTCATACTTGCACTCGAGACCACCGTTGCACTCAAGGTATTGTTTTTATATTGTAATTTTTGTAACAACCCACGCCGCTGTAGCTCGCTGTGGTACATTTCTAATTGAGAAAAATAGGCAAGCACCAATAGGATATACGCCCATACAAAAACTAAAAAATATTAGTAACTTATAAACCTCTATTAAGGGTTGGAGGAAAGTGTGTTATCAGTTTAAAATAAGTTTGAATATGTTTTGAAAATAATTTACGAGCACAATTAGAAACGTTTGTTTTTGTCATTGGTATATTTAATTTTCTGTCAAAAACACTTTTTTTAATGCTATTTTGACAATATTAAAAGTACACTAACGCTCTACAGTTTTTTTAACAATTTTTAAATGGGCTCCTGTGTTGGCTTTTTTAAAATGTTAAGTGAACAATTTACTATGGCAATTCGTTTTTATGGAATACCACAAAACTTATCTCGTTAATGGACTTCGTCCTTTTTATAAATGTCACACTTGTACAATACATAACCATTTGAGTGGTTATCTTCACTATTAATATATATTAAAAATTAAAATATATTTTAGTTACTTCGGATTCAAAATACTTGTACATAGGTACATGTAAATTTTCAATATTCTATTTTTTTTTTAATGCACTTAAAATATTTGAAAAGTTTTTAATAGACAATAACTATGCAAACTCGATAAGTAAACTATGTAAATAAATATAACTAAGGTAAAATAAATATAATTGAAGGTTATACAAATTAATAATTCGTAACTGAAAGGTTTAATATATGATACTGGTTACTGAAGATATGAATTTAAAAAAAAAATCATGTATTAAATTTTAAAATCTATTTTTAAAACTACTTAAATCGTCAAAATGTCAAGCCATACTAAAAAATGTCATCAGGTTTTTTATTAAACAATTATCTAATAGTTTTGCACTTGATGACTTCATATCTATTTTTTTATACATTTCAATGCAGTAATTCAATGACAATGAATAATACTATGGTTTTTACATTAAAATGTTATAGTTTATGCTTGAAAATAAATTTAGATTAGCCGCAGTGAACTATAGTCTCTAAATATGTTTTCTAATGAAAATGACTTATACATTTAAAATAAAAACCATATTTTTGGACTAAATTTGACAAATATTAGTAATCATCGCAACACACGTTCACATTCATCAAAACCGTCAATAATATAATCAAATGCCGACATGCATTGGCTAACATCCTCAACAGGTGTCTAATGAATGTTAACCATGGTAATAAATACGGTTTAAGATAAAATCTTAGAGCATGATAATAAAGATAAAGATACACTTAATTTATAATTTTTAAAATAAAACAAATTTTATTAAAGTTAAAATAAAAAGAATTTTTTGTAAATATTCAATTTAAATACTGTACAATATTATACAAAAAAAAAATGTTCAGCATGACTTACCGGTAATTTCTTCTAAAATAATTTACTAACTTGCTCTTCTTATGCATTTTTATACAAAAACAAACCTTCCATTGAAATTTGTAAAATTGTATGTATTCTAAATAAGAAGTTTAGTTGTGGATAGCCCTTTAATTAATATAGTATTATTTCTCTCTCTCTCTCTCTCTCTTTCTCTCCTATATAAAATGTAGAAAATTACTGTACCTAAATAGTATAGTTTAATATTCTAAATATTTACTTAGTTTTTGGATTTTTATATATTTTTCAGCAGATATCAGTTGCCTAGATTTTGCACATACTTTGGCTTTTATCAACTCACAGTAATGGTAGCCACCATCTAAAACAAGCGCAACCATGATGGAACGATTAGAGAACCTGACCGACCCGAGCCTGTGCTTGCAGGACTTGGTGTCGTCAACGGGCAATGACCACCACAATATCGCCCTGCAACACGCATCATCCGCGTCATTTCACCATCCGGTTCATGATGGCGGAGCCGGTATACACCAAGGCATGCTGGGTCATCACCATGTGCATCACCATGATGGGCATCACCATCACCACCACACATCCGTGCCATGTCCTCCTACGCTCTTGCACCATGAACCGTTAGAGAAACTTAAAAGAGGTAAGATGTCAAACCCAAAATAATTAATTCAACAACACTAGCAACAGCTATCATGCGTAAAACCAGTTTATATTGTTGTACAGAGTACATAAACGTTATATAATAGTATAAAAGTATAATTATTCTATTATAGTCCATTTAATATGCACAATATCCATTTATAGTAAAGTGAATAGTATATATATTTCTAAATTCTATTATAGTAGTACTATAATTGTAAATGTAAATTTGTAATTTCTTAAAGATGTTTAATTATACTGATATGATTTACAACGGTTTATATTTCATGATTTGTCGGTACATTTTTAAATGTTATTCAAATAACAGCTATTTGAAGTAAAAAAATTACTGATGCCCTTTACTTGTGAAAAATTGTATTTATCATAAGTGAAAAAATTCTTGTAGTTCTGCATATTTTTTATTCCTTATTCGCCGAATAATCAGTTATTTTTTAACTATAATTCATTATTCGAATACATTATGCCCACCTTTGATGAATAGTATAATATTTATTTTACACTGAATATGGCTATTGATCTAGTTTACGCTAGATCAATTCGTAATAATTTAAAACGTTGTATTGTGTAAAATACCGTTTCACAAATATTAGTAAATTAAATAAACTATTGTTCCTGAAAGCATAAATTAACTTTACATTTTTTTTGACAAGTTCGAAGTTAGATAACTTATCAGAATTATCATACCGAACCGGATAATTATTTCTATCAACGTTTGTTGTAATTACAACAAAATAATGTAAATTTGGTCTTGGTAACGTTTTCGTTTTCTGTATAATTATAATGATTTTTTATTTTTCTTAATATTTGTAATGCATCAACATCTTATAACATTTTAAGTTAAAATAAAGATCGTGTAATAAATGTTTCATTTCCTTCGGCAGACACAATCAGACGAACAAACGCACCGTTGAATTTACCCAATTTATCTAATATTCTATCAATGTAATCGTGTAGCATATTAGCATTTTCTAGGATCCTATCAGAAATGGCCGAGTAGTCTCCTTCCACTTTCACTTTCGTTAACAGCTGTTGGTTGACATCGGATGCCTTGGCGAGTCTTAAATTTTTTACAGCTTGACAAAAATAATTTCTCGTAAACTGTTCCCGTGCCGCGAGTCTGTCCGTGCTAATCGTATTCATTTTGGCCATCATGTCATTTATTGCAGACCAGTAGATATTTTCATCGAATCTAAACGTCCTTAATGCAATTTTAAGAGGAATCACGAGCACATGCCAGATTCCGAGCAGTTGGTTTTTTTCCACTTGCATTTCTGTTTCGTTAACGGCAGGCGGTCGGCTTTGTAAGGTGTGGTATGTATATATGTGAAACCATGTGAAGTACACAATCGTTAAGTGGATGCATTCCGCAATCAGGGCATTGTACTTATTACCCCGGATCGGGTATAATTCCCATTGGTGTGATAGTTGCTGCTGACCAAAATCTGTGAGATATTCCGTCAAACGACGTTCGACGTTATTCGTTTGAAGTTCAATAACAAAATTTGACCAGTCGTAGACGATTTCGTGGTGAGAATGAAGTTTTATCAACATTAGATTCGGTACGGTGTAGTGGTCTGCGAGATCGTAAGCGTAGGCTAAAACGTCATCTCTTTTGTACAATTTATCTATTGTCTTATAGACTGCTTTGTCAACGAGACAGTAAATCGCTTTCCTCTTTGTGAGGCACAGGCATAGGCTTGGAGGTACTAAATATTTTACCTTGACACATTGGGTAACGAACTCAAACACGATTTTTTCTATGCGTTCGTTGTTTTCTCTGAAATGGTCTCTGTAATTTTCACAGTGCGCGTCTGAAGCCTTGAGACCCGCCACAAAGGTAAATATTTCAATTTGCCAAGAGTAAGCGTCCCATTTCGCTTTGTGTAACATAGACAACATGCGGGACAGGTAAAACATATAGTCGGGAACTAACCTGTTAAGCAAATTTTTCAATACGTTGATTTGTTCTTGATGCATGCTTGCTTCGAGTTCCCTCAACATATGTAAAACGAACAATCCATTAACACACTGGATCTCTTGCATTTTCTGGCGATACCTTTTGACGAACACGTTTTTAAAGTTTAAACGGTCCTCGTTGGTGTAGAATTCGTTGACCAGAATCTCCTGGTGTTCGTCCATAATGTAAACCGGTGTTGCGGCTAAGGTAGGTATCAAGTTTAACAAACGTATGAAATTTCTGTCATACAATTCTTCCAAGTATTCCTATTAAAATGTAATATTTAACTAAATTAAAAAAAGTTTAAAAAATATTCCTTGAAAATGATTTACATGTGTGGTTTTCATGTATTTTTCTAAAAACTTATTCTCTCAAATTAGAATCCCGATGAACACCAACTAGAACATTAAAATGTTCTATTACTCCACACAGACGTGTAAAACTCGTATTTGAACATTCATTATATTATACTCTATCAAACTAATATACAATTTCGGAAATACTTTTCTCACAACGGCCACTTCAAAACCCCCCTTGACACTCTGTTGCCTTTACACCTTCTCCAAATCTATAAAAGAATTAAAGCTGTACAAGGTTTTTCTTCTTATCTCTATCCTTTTGAAACAAGCTGTCTCGCACAAAACAACGGTTCCATCGTCAATTTTCCTTATATAAAACCAATTTGGTTTTTATATATAGCTGTCTCAATTCTAATTTTCTTTTGCCCAAATCTTCATACCATTAACCATAAATTGTATTGTTTTATAATTGCCACATTCTTGAATAGTTTCTCCCCTGCCTTAAAATATATATACTTCAAAACTCTTCCTCCTCTTTTTTGACATATTTCCGTCTACTAGGACTCTGTTCAAGCTAAACATATTATTTTACAACCATAAATCCATAAGAATGACTAATAATTTGATAATTTGTATACAACAACTTTTGTTAACATAAAAACAAATGGCTATATAAATGTATTTATTTTTTTATTTAATTATACTACAATGGTACAATAATTATTATTTATTACAATTTTATAGGAATATGACGTAAACAAATTATTTATGTAGTTGTTAAGATCGTTATTAATAGATCGTAAAGAAACTATTCGAAAAACGTTTTACTCGAACAAAAATGTGCACTACTGTGCATACGGAATATTCAATATTTTAATTTACACGTATGTGTTCTATAAAATAATTAACTAAACCAAACTAATTTAAATTGACAATTGAAATAAAATTTAAAATCATAAATCTTAAATAATAACTGACAACTGATTGTTTACTCACTTGTTGATCATCAATGCGATGCGAACCCTAGAAATAAATACCCATTATAATAATTTAGTGATTTGCAATTTTTCACTGGCCAAAATATTATTTTCAACACTCCAAAATTTATGTGTTCATATTATTTATCGTGCACTGTAGTAAATTTTTCAATTATAAGTCCTCACAAAAAGGATTTATTATATGATATGAGTATTTAATACTAGTTTTTACTGATTTTGCAAAAAAAAAAAATCAAACTATTACCTAATATTGTTATGAGTAATAACAAAATAATAATAATAAACTTATTAAATATATTTATATCAAACATTTTACCTAATACATTAACATAACGATGAGAAAAAATGTATAATATGATAGATTTCTCAATTAAAGAATTCTAAACATTTTGTGGGCTTATGAAAAACAAAAAACCATTTGTGCATAAAGAACAATAATCGGCTAGTTACTTCTGCTCGAATTACGGCAATTCTCGGTGCTATGACTAAATCATTTAAACAAGCTAACAAAAAAATAATTTTCCAATTCATTGCCGCGTGGACGTATGAGATGAAGAAACAAGTTGAAGTACTTACAGTTCATCTTTAAATATCGAAGAACGTTCAGTTTTTAAATTGTATTAAAATTAATTTACAACTGTTCATACAAATAGCGTTGGGTAAATATAGAAACATCAACGTGACTATTACAGAAAAATATGATATATGTGAAATAATTATTCAAATTTCAATTTATACTTACTATACAGGTGACTTTTTTAACGCCTCACTCTAGTAAAAAACTGAAAAATGAATTTTTTAATCATTTTCAATACCATTTAAAATTAATATTCGTGAACAAGAATCTTGTTAATTATGAGCATACACTAAATATTTATTCGAATTTTATAATTTTTTCATACGAACCTTTCTTAATCTTGTATTACACATAATAACTAGGATGGTACAAAGACAATATAATTATTAATATTTAGTAAAAATGTTAGTCGGCAAATTCGCGAGTAATGTTCGATGTTTATACGGAATATAATTATTTTCTAGACGTGAAACCCGGCCAAACGGTGCACGTATCGACGAGTATTATATACAGTATACTAGAGCCTATATTATATTATTATATTACATTGGTGTTCACCAACCGGCTGCAGTTTAATGGGCAATAATTTAGCGCGTTATTGTTATACGGGGGTGTCCATTAGCATAATCATTGTTTGTGCGTGGGATGTCGGGGCGTTTGGCGAAAGGGACGGGCAACAACAAGTGTGAATTCCCATGTAACATAATACCAACTCGTCAGTATTCATGGTCGGCGCCCCGTGAAATCAGCGCAAGAGCGACCCTCCAAAAAATAAGGGTCCGCAATTATATACGTATACTCTGTTCTTTTGAGCGTTATTTTTTTACCGTATTGCTCGTCCGACAGACTATATAATTTCATATTATAGTTTAGTCAAAGTACACTCTGAAACCCAAAGTAGAACAGTAACAGCGTGGGCCATTTGTTTAATTATTATTATTTGTTAATTATTTATGTATAATAATGGGTATAGATGAATAACGCCAGCATAATATGATATTAAAACTCTTTTTTTTTTAACTTCATAAAAGTCTTATCACTGTGAAATCCAGAAATGCAGGTAAAATAGTGTTGTTACATTAAATAATGACCATTATGACCTAAAAAATAGAATATATATAAAATATACACAGAGTGGTTTATTTAACG